TAGCTGCTGTTGCCGCCGGAATAGCTGCTGTTGCCACCAGAGTAGTTGCCGCCAGTGGAGCCGACATCACCGGAGTAGGACCGGTTGTCGGAAGCCGAGGCGCTGGATGCGCCGAAGGGATCCTGAGAGCTAGGCCGAGACTGGGCCAGGGAGGAGGATGAGCTCCGAGAGGCACGTCCACGTCCAGAAGCCGGAACCGCGTCGTTCAACCAGGAATCCCCCTGATCCCAGTTGTTCCAGGCATCATCGGTGGCTGATCCGGCAAGCGAAAGGGGCAGGGGAAGGAGGGGGGCAGGACAATGACAAAGATGAGTGGGAGGCCAAGAGACCAGGGATATCCGACGTGGAGGAGCGCACTGGATTGCTGGGAAGCCCGACCCTGCGAGGCAGACCCCGAGGAGAAGGGCGACACTGAGGAGGCCGCCGGAGCGGGAGCCAGACCGCCACCGGAGGAGGTCTTGCTACGCGGCTTGTCAGACGAGGAGGAGGAGTTGCGCGAGGCAGCGGGGGCGGCCTCCACCTTCGGGGTCTCGCCACGACAGAGAGCATCAAGCTTTGATAAGTGGAGAGGGGAGGAGTGGGACGGCGGGGCGGGGGGGCAAGATGGCGGGTCAATAAGTACCGAGAGGCTGGGGAGGGCGATTGGGAGGGGCAATTAACATACATGGGCCTTGTAGCGAGTGAAGGCAGCAGCGTGGTACTTTCGGGAGATGGGCAGACTGCTGTTGTAGTCGCTCTGCTGCTCGAGGAAGGCACTGGCGACCGCATTGCCACCGAGCTATATCGGGGGGAAAAGAGGGGGGGGGGTGAGTATGAAGAGGGAAAAGGGAGAAGGAGGAAGGGCCCGAGTCGGAGGGACAAGAGACACACCTTCATGCGGGTCAGCTGCTCCGGACGCCAGGAGTCCATCTGGACAGAGCGCACGAAACTATGGGTTGAGGCGCGAGAGGGGGGGGGGGGGGGGGGGGGGGGGGGGGGGGGGGGGGGGGGGGGGGGGGGGGGGGGGGGGGGGGGCTCCTTTTCCCCGACTTTCCAGGGAGCCTCGATGTTTGACTTACACCGCTGGCACCGCCCCAACCAGAGGAGGTTGGCATTGTCAAGGAGTACACCGAGGCCCTGGCCACCGCACGAGTACCGATCTTCTACATGTCCACCTACCTGACGGACTACATTTTGGTCCACTCAACAGACCTTCGCCGGGCCCTGGAGGCCATCGACTCGCTCAGCTAGCGACCGGCCCGGGCCGGGGCGTGCTGCTGTTGGCCACCTCCTTTCCTGACGTCCCGTTGCCCATCCCCTCCTTCAGGACCAAGAAGGGCCTCCCCCGACAAATGGACATGCGTTGTGGGGCGGTAAATGGCGCTTGCTTCTTCTCTTCTTTTTTTTTTCGCTTGGGCATGTGCACACATGCGCTGTTCTATTCCGGGAAGGAGGGAGGATCGCCACCAAGAGCGAGAGCACCCCCAGAGCAAATCGGGAGGGGAAAATCGGGGAGAGAGAGAGAGAGAGAGAGGTGGGAGAAGAGCGAGGGAGCCAACGACATCGAGTCGAAGCGAAACGGTGTGCGCCGAGCAAACACCCCCCCCCCCCCCCTCCCTCCCACCCACTCGTGGTCGAGCCCCCTACCAGTTCCAGTCATCCGGGTCATTGGATGCTGCCTGGGCAGTGTCAAACGGGCTGGAGGAGGAAGTGGGCGCCTGACTGATGGAAGGGGCACTGGTGGTGGCGGTGGTGGGAGTGGTGGCAGCCGGCTTCAGGCGCGACGTCGATCGGGAAGTGGTTGGCCGGTTGGTAACGACATCCTGCGGATCCCAATCGGAGCCCCAGTCGTCGAAGCCATCCGAGGAGGCAGCAGTGCTCGGGGTGGCCTGCGCAAAGGGACTGATGCCAGACGACCGATAGGGCTGCTGGCCGGAGGAGGAGGAGGAGGCGCTCGGGGCGGCCTGCCCACCGAAAGAGGAGGTGCTTGGGGTGGAGGGCAGTGAGCTGCGGCCTGCCCCCGAGTGGGGCCCAGCCGCGGAAGAAGAGGAAAAGTTCGAGGAGGAGTGGCTCGCGGCGTCACCGCCATAATTACCGCCATAGCCACCGGCACTGTTGCCGTTGTTGTTGCCGAACTCCGAAGAGCCGAACCCGGAGGACGACGAGGCACTACCGTGGCCACCGGAGTAACCGCCGCCGCCGCCGCCGCCGCCGCCGCCGGATGCAGCCATGCCACCGCCGTAGCCGGAATAGCGGCCACCACCACCCCCGTGGTTGCCACCGCTGCCAGCACCATGGTAGCCGGAATCAGAGCCATAGCCGGAGTTGCCCCAGATGTAGTTGCTGATGCCCTGCTCTTGGACGAAGTTGGTGGTCGGCTCGATGACGTTCTCACGGAGGGACTTCCCGAGGAAGGCAAGGCCCTTTTTTCCGAGACAGAGAGAGAGAGAGAGCAGAGCAGGGCAAGAAAAGAACAAGGAAGAAGCAAGGAGTCAGTCCGGATCCGAGAGCAGGGGTAATGCGCCGAGGACGATGGGAAGGCAAAGAGGCAAACGCACACGCGAGATGGAGTCAACCGCATCGTCGAGCAGCTCGCCAGTAGTCCCACCAACGTAGGAGCCCCCGTAGCCACCGGAAGAGGAACCACCAGTGTTGTTCGAGAAGGCAGGGTTGCCGAAGCCAGCATACCGGCCACCCTGACTAGGAGGCACATTCCTGCCGGTGATTGTGGAGCGGCAAGAGGGAAAAGAGAGACAAGGAGAGGCAAGGGGAGGCAAGGGGGGAGGGGGGAGAGGGGGGGAGAGAGAGGGAGAGAGAGGGAGAGGGGGGAGCACACACACACGCACGCACACACACGGGTGCGTGGGAGAGAGAGAGAGAGAGAGAGAAGGAGAAGGAGGTAAGGACATGAACACGAGGAAGGGTAAACCGGGGTCGGGCGAGCTGAACATGAAATGAGGCAAGAAAGGGGGACAAAGGAGGAAGGGGGAAAACAGAGGAGAGCGTACTCGGGCCGAGAGGAGTTTGCAGCACCCATACGCTCGAAGTAGGCAACATTTCCGCCGCCGCCGCCGCCGCCGGAGTAGCTGCTGTTGCCGCCGGAATAGCTGCTGTTGCC